ATTATTATTATTAACGATTATTATTATTAACTACACAAGGTGCCAGTTACTGTAGCATTCGTCAACTTTGCATAATCAATGAGCCTATTATGACTTTAATGTTTATCTACTCTCTGTTGCCTATACTATTGCCGATAACTTCCAGTAAATTCCGTACAAATTTTTCTCTGCAACATACACTCACGCCGCTGTGCACCAACAATTAACAAGAATTTAGAGAAAGAATAACAAGAATAAATAGTAAAAGTAAAAGAGAAAGAGTAACACGAATAAGACGTGCGTAAGTAGTAAGTACTAACGGCAACTTTATGGCTATATATAGTTATAGTACTAATGATAAAGAACTGGATTGAGGTCAACAAGACCGAATGTTCAAAGATTGAACTCCTCGGAATAAACCATTCATCATTTAATGCAAGCTTGCTTTACACACACATACACACACGCACACACACACACACACACACACACACACACACACACGCGCGCGCGCGCAGAGAGAGTTAGACAGACACGCGCTGTATATGCAATATATATATATATTGTAAATTACATTCAAATATTACAATTCTACAATCAATACATGACTACAATACGCGCGGAGTTTTCGTGTGGCGGAGTTTTCGTGTGGCGGTGGCGGTGGCGGTGGCGGTGGCGATGGCGGCGGCAGCCGCGAGAGCCGTGTAAACACACACACGTGCACGCGATATCACACACCACGCGTTCCGCTGTGTATCGGCGCGCAAGCACGCGCATGCGCACACACGTGCATGCTGCGGATGTCAGCGTCGGCACGATCTGCTGGTGACGAGGCCGCGAGCCCGGCTATTGTGCGACTGATAATGAGCGAGCGGCAGATGTTCTGCCGGAGCCCCGGCATGACGACGGCGTGGGAACGTACGACGGTGTCCGCTTCCCACACGCCAGTAACACCTGCCGACCGCACGCCTCACATACCAACGTAACCAGCCACTCGTCCCCAACCTCCTCCCCTTCACTGGGTGCATGCGCATGCGTCCTGGCAGCTGCCGACACGCACACACATGCGCGAGACTGCTGCCGCCTGCCGACACACGTACGCATGCCTCTATCCTCTGTTTACACTCGTTACGCGTCCATTACCGGTAGCTGGGTTCACCGTGGCCACAGCTTATGCTATTGTTCCACGTAAATGAGGCAGATAGGCAGCAGCAGCAGCACCGAGTTAATAGCTGATGCTAGGTGCAGAGGTTGGGTTGTTAGGTTCCGGTTTTAGTGCGGTTGTAGTTTGTTTGAGATTGAGAAATGTTGAGTCACGCGTGGATCGAGTTGTGGCGAGTGATGCAAATATATTACGCGTTTTGTCACGTCACACCACACCCACACAAACACACCCACATACGCACAAACACACCCACATACGCACAAACACACCCACATGCACACAAAAACACCAGATAGGCATACACACAAGCTTGTGTGCTTTAATCTTATTCAAAAACATATAAGCTTTAATTCCTTCCTTCACATCATTCTACATCATCCGACACACATGTTCACCGATTCTTCCCCATCTGCTCCCACACATAAGCACCTCCTCCAGTTCCGTAAACAAAACCCAAGGTATATGTGTTAGGCATATATTTTCATTCATACGTATATAGCTGTTACACCCTGAGAAGTATCTGGTTAGCCACCCAGCAAGACCCTTGATCTTCTCGAATCTCTCTCACAGGACGTAATGCAACACAATGTCACAACATGCCACATCTCAATAATGGACTCACAGCTTAAAGCCGCACTATGCGCATCCAAACGCAAATTTCTCCAGTACTAGACTAGCAAATACTTCGTGTCATGCATAATCACACTACCTTATGGCAAAATAAACTCTAGTTCCTCCCATTTCACTGCGCGTTTGCTTAAAACCCACAAGAAAGAGGTGCGAAATCTGGTAATCTGGCGCCAACGCTAAATTGTTTGCCAAAAAATTTCGCCAAGAATTAGTTAGGTGACGTCACATGTTTTTATCTTTGCTACACCCGTACCGCTGTACCGCGGCACCGCTACACGGCTGCTTGGGAGAGCAACGCGAAACTGTCAACAACATCGGAGAATTTGAACAACATTGGAGCTATTTTCAAATGCCTTTTATAAGACAACGCGCAGTGAAATGAGAGGAATTAGAGTTTATTTTGTCATAAGGTAGTATGATTCTAGTCTAGTACAGGAGAAATTAGCGTGTAGATGCGAATAGTGCGGCTTTAACGGAAAATAGATAGTTCAGCCGGATTGGCCACTTCAATTGCTACTAGCCGCAAACACAACCTTGTCTGGCCACCGCTTCTCTTGCAGCTAGAATGTGCGAAACGTCTATCGCTCTAAGTATGGAAGCCGTGGAAACGAACCGAGTTCGAAAACAAAAGCTCACACCAGCGAGAGGCATCAAGGGTGGGTTTAGTGAGATCTCGCAGATATATCAGACAGCCAAGTAAACAGCGCTATATCGGTGTCGCACCCCGTGAATAAATGACTGGCCGAACCGGTGTACGACGAAGTATAGATAGAGGAGGGGGCGAAGTGAGAAGTGGAGGGAAAATGAGGAAGTATAACGAGAAAGAAAGATACAGATACAGAGAGGGAGGAAGAAGGGCTAGAGCGAGAAAGAGAAAGACAGAGCGAGAGAGAGGGAGGATAGAGTGAGAAAGAAAGAGAGGTGGCGATAAAGAGAGAAAGAGAGACTCGCGCTAAAACACACCGCGCGCGCGCTTCGCAGACGCCGCCGGCAGCGATCAGCGAACAAAGAGCACGTGAGCGGCAGCGCGCGCGCGGGGCGGACGCGGGAGCGGTGGAACGTGGTGGGATCACGGAATGCGCGGGTGCGGGGTGCTATCACGCGCGGCGTCTGCCCGCTTGCCACGAGTCCCCGTCACGGCCGATGGGCCGCGCACAATGCGCCGCCACAATAGCAGCTGTTTACCTGTCAGAGATTGCAGGTTCCCGAGCGTGGGAAACACTTGCCACAGGAAAGTCGCACGAGTCTAAATTTATTTACATTTTACGGCTTACTGCCGACAGACAATGGCAGGCGCGCGGTGATTGGCGGAGGCGGTCGTGGGAACCGCGCTCCCCTAATCTTTCACACGAGTTGAGCGTATGGCACACCTGGTGTACCTCTGCATAAATACCGGCGCATGGCCGGAGATGCCATCAGTCAGCTAGCAGCATCGGATAGCAGCACATCATCGCAACAGCACAGCCGAGAAGTTTACGAACGCAAACATGCCAGCAGTCAACGCCAGCCTCTACTTTAACCCCATGCACATGGATAAGAAGGCTCAGAGAAAGGTACGTACGAGTTCGACAATGCTTTTGCAACCTTTTCGTTTTATACTCAATGAATGTTTGTGTTCCTACTACTAGTATATAGTAGTAGGTATCAGTTTAGTTTCTTCGCGCTGTTAGTTTGAACGCGCTTCAGTTTAGTTTTAAACACGAAGACTTATAGTTGTTTATTGTTTGTGTTCTCAGGTTCTGAAGCCAAAGATCGAGAAGAAGAGACGAGACAGAATCAACAGCAGCATGGAGGAGCTGAAGATTATAGTCCTGCATGGACTGAACAAGGATCCTTCCCTCTATTCCAAGCTGGAGAAGGCAGATATCCTTGAGATGACCGTCAAGTACATGAGGAACGTGAGCAGCGGCGCTCAGCTCGCATGCAGCGACCGCTACCGAGCTGGCTTCTCTGAGTGTGCCGGCGCCGTCTCGCACTACATGGCCACCGTCGACTCCTCCCTGCAGGGCCGCATGATGAACCACCTGTCCGCTGTCGCCGCCTCGCGGATGAAGCCCGAAGCTCAGCCGCCGATGAAGACAGTCGTACAGCAGCAGCAGGAACCGATGACGCGGTATCAGCAGACGATGATCAGCCCGCCAATCAAGAAGGAGCTGCCAGTGTGGCGTCCGTGGTAACGACAACGCCTCGTCAGCAACCACAGTCTGCCTCCCGAGACTGCCAGCCAATCACGATGTCTTGAGCTGGACCACGTGACATAGCGCGGAGGAGAGAGAGCCGCATTGAGACTGGCCTGGGCAACCGTCGTCACCGGTACGTTCACCTACCGTGGTTTTACTCGGCATATGATTATGCATGTATTGATCTATTGCTGTCATCTGCAATTAATTTGATTAAAGATATAGCTATAGGTTTGGTGTAATCTTAATCGCAAACAACCTTTTCTGCAAGATTTTAATTATCGTTTCTTGTTTCTTGCGACAGATTTATCGGATATCGACAGAGAGCCCTCACTGAGTCCGTCACGGATGGCGTCATGATGCCATGCGTCGGTCCATACGAACAGTTGACCACACAGCAGCCGGCAAGACATGACGACGTCACCAATAATTGATGACGTAACCATTGTTGCTCCACGCGCATGATATCGACATGGCCATGGAATTCATTGACGATATTACTACAAGTCGTACCGTATAATGTGTTAGATTGAATGTATCGCTGTTATTGATCGATACTGTGGATTATTCCCTAATTGTTTGTCGTTTTTGTCTAATAGTACATAGTGTGCGACTTACATTCATTTACAAATGTCGCACATGGGTATTGATGTACGTGTAATTTTTAATTGACGATGTGATTTACGTTTTTTATTAATAAAAAGACTTTGTCATAAAAAACCTACTTGTTCGTTTGTTGATGTTCGTTATGTGCAACTGTCGTCGTAGTTTATATACGTGTACATCTCTAAACTGTTAATTCGGTACGCGTGAATACATGCAGTTATTACAGTGATCAATGTTCTACCAGGATATTTCCTGCGCGATGCGAGCCTACATCTCCTTACAAATCGTGTAATACATTTGTACAAACATACATCTCCATAAGAATAGTGTACGAATCAGCAGATTACGAATTCAACGTGTAAAATATCACAAACCCGCACGGGAACCATGCATGCACTAAAGGCAAATGAATCGGGTGTGATCGGAACAATAGTCCAACTGATAACATGCGTAGCTATATCGATTTCCGTTTTGGTTGTTGCAATTAATGATAATTATGCGTGGATAGCGGTGTAGTAGCGCAGGATACTGGTATTTGTAGGGTTCCCTATACACGTGAGTCGTCGTTGGCATTAGCGTGACTATACGTTCTCATTGCCTTTTTAATAACGATTTCTATATTGTCGTGCCGCCCACGTCGTGAGACAAATGATGCAACTCTCGCAATAGCAATTAAGGTGACATTGCGGGAAGTGTGGTCATGGAGTATGGGGGTATTTAGGTATATAGAACCACGCCCGCCTTCTATACGTACCGGGGGCTAAAACCGGTCAGAATTGTCAACAAATATGTGTAAATGATAAACGACAACAGTGACGATTACAATAACAGCGACGACAACTATGAAGGCGAATTGATTAACGACAACGGTAACAGTAAAACTGGCAATCATGAAGACGAATACGTGTGTAAATGATAAACGACAACAGTAACAATAACAACGACGACAGCAATGGCGACGAACATATAAGTAACGAAAACGATGACGATAGTGAGAGCGGCAACAACGATAATGGCGAAAATGACACATAAATGAAAGAACAACAATGACGACGTCAACGATGAAGACAAATGTATAAGTAGCTTACAGTAACAGTAGATATATGCCCGATACTAGAAGAAAACATCAGCTAATCAACGAACTGCGCTGATTCACCGACCAATTATGGGAATGTTATTTACCAACATGAAGACGCATTCTTGTTGTTCTCTATAGTAGAGTATGTCTGAGTGTTTCATTGTGTTTCTGTTCTTCATTGTGTTCTGTTTGTGTTGATTGCACGTACGATCAGGTACGTTGTTCTGCACGCCGCACTGCACTCTTACCGTGCTGTGTACGCTTCCGTAACATAGAATTCACCGCTGCTATACTAAAATCGTGATGTGACGCATGTTATCTCACGGCACTCTCACATAGAGTAGCCCCCTCTCCCTCCCTCCCCGCATATCCACGAACCTCTCTTCCCTGCTTATCCACGACCCCTCACTCCTAGTATCTCCACGACCCCTCCCTCTCCTGCTTATCCACGCCGCTCGCTCCCCGTATATCCACGACCCCTCTCTCCCCGTATATCCACGACCCCTCTCTGCCCCGGCTCCCCGTATATCCACGACCCCTCTCTACCCTGCTTAATTATTCACGACTCCCTTCATCCCTGTATATCCACGACCCCCTCCCTCCCCGTATATCCACGACCCCTCTCTCCCCTGTTTATTCACGACTCCCTCCCTCCCCGTATATCCACGACCCCCTCTCTCCCCGTATATCCACGACCCCTCTCTACCCTGCTTATTCACGACTCCCTTCATC